TTAGTAAGATACCAATACTAGGCCCCAGACTCAACCAGCTACAAACTCATACAACTATAAATATCAGCTACAAACAGCAAGAAAAAAAAGAAGATACACATTCTCCCCTTCTCCCTCACAAAATGCAAACAACTTTAAGCATCACTCCAAGCAGCAAACATAGGCATATGAGCCATAGAGATCGCAGTCCTAATCTGTGTCGAAGGCATCCAGAAAATAAACATGTAATAACTGAGCAAGTTCTAAATTCATTACACAACACCATTCAGTAGGCATCCAGAAAATAAACATGTAATAACTGAGCAAGTTCTAAATTCATTACACAACACCATTCAGTATTGGAATTGCTTTAATACTTAGGGCCAGCATTCCCCACATCTGTATTCAAAACCGAAATCAACATTTGGAAGCATAATCAAAGTGCTCAACAAACAAAATGCACTTCATACCCAGCTTGCAGATATCGATGATTGCTCTTACCTACAAAAAAGAAAATAGAACATCAAGACAGTAGGATAACTAACTCAATATGCTATTATGAGTGTCAAAGGGCAAGTTCAAAATAGGACAACTGCAGAAAATGATATAGGCCAATTCTATATTTGGAAAAAACTAAACAAATAAGAAATTCACAAAAAAGCTAAGTATGAAAATAAAGAAATTTTACCTTGGCAAATTGACTTTACAGCTAGTTCTATAATGCTCGAGTTCACCACATCTGCTACATATACGCTTCTTCCTCTCTCTTTTTTTTGTGCAAGTTCTAAGCCTGACTGAATTCTAGTAGCATTGCGTGGCCGACCTTTAGTCCTTGCAGATTTTTCAGGATCACGAACTGTAATCTGAGGAATGTGCTCCATTGTATGTGAAATGGGTGCTGAAATCTGAGGATTATCTTCTGTTTCTCTAACTTCTTCTTCAAGTGATTCTATGAATTTTGTTAACACATTATCTAATTTCTGCATCCTTTCTTCTGAATCAAATGCAAGCTCGAGCGCATTATTGAATTTTGCTCTTAAAGCCCAAGATTTCAACAAATTAATCTTCTCTTCACAACTTGTGAGGTTTCTTCCAAATACAATATTGCCAACCCTAATGTTACGATGTCGAGCATGTATAGTCCAACGGTGTAGGATGCAATGGTCGGGTAATGAAGAAATTTGGCTAGCCATCATTAGCGACAATATATGTCTACATACAACACCATTAGTTTCAAACAAAGCACAAGAACAAATGAATTGCATCTTACTGGATTCTTCATAAGTAACCACCTCCCATTTTTCTCTATCTGCAAACTTACAAATCTTGTATTCAATAATATCCCCATCTTTGCTCAATTCTTCACAAAACTCTGTACCAAATCCTTTGAATTCAGTTTGGAACACATATCCCCATCTTTGCTCAATTCTTCACAAAACTCTGTACCAAATCCTTTGAATTCAGTTTGGAACACAACAAACATGTTGCGTGTATACATTTCTCCAGCTTAGACCTCAATCGGATGTCCAAGGAGCATGACAGGCTTTGTGTTAAGACTCTTAAAATCTTCATGAGCTTCACTTAAGCGACGATGGGTTAATGCTTTTTCATATTGTAATAAAAACTCGTGTAATTGAGTCTGTGAGTTAACATACCCATCAAAAATGCATTAATACTTTCACTTCTTTGGCTCGATCTCATTCCAGCAAAAAAGTGTCCTTCAAATAACATGACACCTAATGATCTCGATATTTGTAAACAGTTTGCAACCATCCATCCCCTTCTTCATTTATATCAAACTTCTCCTTCATCTCTAGCTAATATCCTTCACACTGTTCAATTGAAGAACTATTACACCATAAGCCCCAATACCTTTGAAACTGTTCACCATAACGAGAAACCGGCAAATGATCAGTAATGTGTTTTTGCATGTGCCAAAAGCAATAACGATGTCTTGTCATTGGAAACACAGAGTGAATAGCATTACACATGGCTCTATCCTGATCTGTTATAATAGCACCTGGTTCAACCCCATGTATGCATTTCAGCCATTCTTGAAATAACCACACAAAGGTATCTTCTTGTTCATCAGCTAATAATGCACAACCAAGTAAAGTGGATTGTCTATGATGATTCACACCAGTAAAGTGGACTGTCTATGATGATTCACACCAGTAAATGGAGCAAATGGAAGACTGAAATTATTAGTTCTGTATGTCACATCAAACACAACAACATCACTAAATTATAAATAAGACGCTCTTGATCTTCCGTCAACCCAGAAAACACTCCTCATTTGTCCACTACTGTCCACTTCTATTACAAAATAGAATTCTGGATCATTCGCTGTCAAACTCTGAAAACGTTTTATGATAGATATGCATTCATGGCCAATATTGTTGACTCTCTGGTATCTAATGTGATCAATACACTGTTGTGGTGTCACTAATTCGCCTTCTCTTCCAGTGGTTGCGTTAATGACGCGAGAAATAGTGGATGGAGGCATACCTTCTTCTTGCAGACTCTCAATAAGTTTTTTACAACTTTGAGATTTATGGAATTGTTGGTGTGATCTGTGCATCTTTGCTTTGTCTGGACTACTCAACACATGATTTGTATGTTCTTCAACAAACCCCGTGACCTCCCACGATTTGTCCTCCAATACTTTAACCCTCATCATTGCCTTACATCCCACTCGGGTCTCTCGCCGAAAAGGCATCTCCATCTTGTCTCTATTAGATCTATATCCCTCCTTATCACAAACAAACTTTCTGTCCAGCACGTCTCTTGTCTTCTTCGAGTAATTTACCGTGCTCTTCCTTATTCCAAAACCCATCAACAATGCGTAATGGTTATAATAGTTATAAGCTTCTTCATAAGTATTAAATTTCATTCCGAGTAGTGGCTTAGGAGCATTTTCTGTACTGGCAGAAATTTCAATTCCACTAGCACTTGATTCTCCCATTTTGAACACTTTTTTTGCTGTAAAACAAATGCAAAGAAGAAAAAATTGAAAAAAGCCATAAGCGTAATAACACAGCATGGATTCATCAAGAAACAATATAAAATACCCAAATAAATACTTCAGTTTAAACTAATCAAGGGCTTTGTTTAAATTGTTTGACAATACTTTAACTCTCATTTCAGTTTAAATTGTTTGACAACTTTGACCATCAGTGAGTCATGCTGCATTCTGACATATTATTAAGTAGGTCAGTCACTGAGAGGCGATAATGTATATGAACTGGTTGTAGCGACGCATAAATGTAACATATATGCAAGAACTAAACTATAAGCTATAGAATAATTCATTGACTGATCGACAACTTGGAAGCTGAAATCAGCAAACAACAAGCAACAACAAGCAATAAAGAAACCAACAAGTAAGAAGCTGAAATCGATTTCGTGGCAATATAATCCAAGCTCAACACCAAACCCCTAAGAACTCAACCGTTCCCTTTTAGATACCTATGACAACTTGGATAAAGGCAGCCTAAAAAATTAGAAAATTTGGGTAACCTATTGCATTTTCCTGATTCAGTGTTTTAGGAGAAAGACTTGGAACTAAACTGGACAAAATATCTAGTGAAGACTTCCCCATCTTCCAAAACGAACTCTTGACTAGTCTTGCTTTTACACTTTTAGTGGAAATCAAAGGTCAGAAGGGATTGCGGGAGTCGTCATAAATCATGTTTTATTGCTGAAAGAGAATGTTGTTTCAATATTTTGGTTTATCATCTTGTACCAAAGCAAATCAAATGAATTGTAATGTGCTTAGACGTTCTAATACCTTACAAAGTCCTAGCAAAAATCCTAGCCATTCACCATCTTAGGACTAAGATTTGACCCAAAATTTGTGGATTTAGGAAGAAGAGAGCTAGGATTTTGGAGAGGGAAATGGGGGAGGCGGGATAATACATCTGAGAGGGAAATGGAGGAGGAGGTGTTTCGTTTCGCTCGGTCTGGGGTCACGAGCGACGGAGAAGGCTCTGTGCGCTGCTCGGTGTGGGGTCACGAGCGCCGGACGTCGATCTCGTGGCGGTGCTGCTGGCGATCGAGTTGGGAGGAAGATCTGAGAGGGGACGTCGATCTCGAGCGAGGTGGCGATCGAGTTCTCGTGGCGGTGCTGCTGGCGATCGAGCGCTTGGTGGTCGGGGATATGAGAGTGATCGACGTTGGGAGGAAGAGGGATCTGATAATTGGGGGAAGTGTGTTTTGATTTTTTGGGGAGAAGGAGAACTGGCCAGTGGGTTTTGATTTTTTGGGGAGAAGGAGAACTGGCCAGCGGGGTTTTGATTTTTTCCCTTGAGATCCGCGATGTTTTTTTCAAAAAAAACCCAGGAGCGCACCAGTAGGAGAACTGGCCAGCGCTCCTACAGTTCTCTCCTCTCTTCTCTTCTCTCTCTCTATATATATATATATATATATATATATATATATATAATATATATACTATTTATATATATATATCATATATATATATTATAATTATATAGAGGAAACTGGAGGTGCATGCCAGTTATCAGCTTTTGCGTGCGCTGCAGGCGCGTTCAATTCGCAAAAAAAACCACCGTAAGACTTCTCCCCAAATTCCAAACCGTGACCTTCTCTCTGCATTTCCCCCCAAAATCTGTCTTCTCTCCCAAAATCCCCAATTCCACTCATCCTCTCCCAAATCGCCATCGGAGCAACCCGTGACCTTCTCTCTCTCTTTCCCCCCAAATCTGTCTTCTCTCCCAAATAAGCCCCAATTTCCACTCATCCTCTCCAAATCGCCATCGGGAGATCATCAAATCCCCCGTCAAGCCACCGCGACTCATCCTCTCAAAATCGCCATGTTGGAGCTCATCAATCCGCCTTCAGCCAGCGAGGATCGACGCTCTCCTCTTCTCCGTCAGCCATCGCGACCCCGGTCAGCGTGCGAGCTTCTCATGCCGGCCGTTCCGCTCACCTCTCTCTCATCTCTCTCTCTCTCTCCTCTCCCTCTCTCTCCTCTCTCTCTCTCTCCCGTCGCCATTCGAAACTCGGTCAGCCACCGCGAGGATCAACGCTCGTCGTCACTGGACTTTTGACGACCAGGTAACTCAGCTCACTCCTTTGAGTTTATATTTAGTTTTTGCTTCCCTTGCTGGTGAAGGAATTGCCTCATGTTCTGAGAGGATTATCATTAAAATTATTAACAATTCCTCCAAATATGTGTTCTCAAGGGAGATGCTGAAATATTTAAGATGGTGCATTTCATGGCGGGGGAACCATGCTAAATATAAAATTGTGTATACTTCATAGTTTTTTTTAATTAAGCCAATGATTGGCATGATCTTCAGACAGGGCATGTTTAGCTGTTCGTGAGAATACTTGTTGAGAATCTTGCACAGCTGATATTTTGGGGTTTTTTTTTTAAGGGAGAAGAAGACTGTAGGCAAGATTGAATCCTAGATATTTTTAAACTGAACATAGTGTTATTTTTTTAAGGGAGAAGAAGACTGTAGGCAAGATTGAATCCTAGATATTTTTAAACTGAACATAGTGTTAAACTCATTTGATTGAAAGTGAAAACAAGATTGAATCCTAGATATTTTTAAACTGAACATAGTGTTAAACTCATTTGATTGAAAGTGAAAAAGTTTTGGAAATCATATCAGAACAGTAATTAGTCACAAAATAGAGGAAAATGGGAGGTGGTCACTTATGAACAATGGGAGGTGGTCACTTATGAACAATCTAGTCAGATAGAGGAAAATGGGTATCTGATGAAATTTAGATTGCTCTGAGTGTAAGGAGAGTGAAAAAGTTACAGGGGATTTATCGCAAATAACTCTTGATTTTAAATTTAAGTAACATGCTATCAACTTAAATATCAGTTCATTAGTGTTGTCTTGATTCTGCTAAAAGCAAAATATCAACTCAATTTCTCTTTACCTAATATATTGTTTGCATGAATTCGTTGATTTCACTAGTAATTTATTTCACTAGTAATATATGGTAGAAAATTACAGTGTTCGAGAGTGTTTCCTTTTGGCCAATTATGGAGTCATCTTCAAGCAATTGTAATCGTCATGGACTGTTGTGCCATTGTGGAAGGAGAGCTATACTCTAAGATCTGGAACTAAGACGAACCCCGGTCGATTGTTTTTGGGATACGCTAATTGGAAAATGAATAATTGTGGATTCTTCAAATGGGTATCTGATGAAGAGGAGTTTGAAGGTTCAAAGTCAGAGCTTGTTCAGACGAAGCAGTCGAGCGTGACGCCGCAAGTTTCAAGAGCCGTGTCAAGTGGAGAATTGCGGGAAAAGAGATTGAGATTGATGTTATGGATTTGTTGAAGCTTGTTATATTTGCTCTTTTATTTGGTATTTTTCTAGGATTTGTATTTGGTAGTTTTAACACATTTGTGCTAAGTAGGGTGTAAGAATGTATCCTTCAATAGATCACTTGAGCTTTAGTGTGTGTGTATATATTGTAAAGTTCCGAAAAAAAGACAATGTAACTTTTTTGCATGGGCACATGATGAGAGCACTTCCATTTACAAGAATTTCTTGTTGAAGAAAAAATACAGTGGGAGAGATGAAAACATTATTGAAAATAAAGAAGTTGAAGAAACAATTGAAATTGATAGAGCGTCAACTTATTTATTGGAAGAATTCTGTAATGATGCTAGTATTTGTTTGTATGCTTCTTCCTTTTGTAAATGTTGCGCCATACTCTTCTAAATGTAATTGAAGTAAATTCATAAATTTTTGAGAAAAGATTTAACTTACATAGCTGTCATGTTATACGCAGCCTTCTTGAAGTTTTTTATCAATCTTCATGTCCTGCTTTGCTAGTTCTGTAAGATACGGGATAGGCACCGCATCATGCTCTAGCACCCATTTCTTGTTACACACTCCCCTTAATTTCAAAGTGGAATTTGTAGTTGACTTCCATTTTTTACATGTCATATTTCTTTTAGTCGGTGATATCTCCTATATTTGTAGTTGACTGGTTCACTTGTCGATGTTTGACAAATGTGTGAAAAAAGTGCAAACTCAGCAAGTTTGTCGAATTATGAAGATGAGAAGTATGAAGATTATATTCTGTTATAAACAAACGCATGTTCACATCTTTAACAATTTAAGTTAGCAATGATACTTGTCGAATGATATCTAACTTTATGAACAAACAACCATATTCTCAGCAAGTTAGTGAATATTGGTCTCAACAATATGCCGAACCTGTAACATGGAAACACTCTACTGAGTAATCAACAAGTTAGTGAATATTGGTCTCAACAAAATAACACCTATACTACAGTCCAGCAGCATGGAAAAACAGCCATATTCTCGTTATGCATAAAGCTGAGTGAATAGCATGGAAAAACAGCCCAATGGAGACACAAACACTCATCAACAAAATAGACAACAAAATAGACAACCCGTTTCTGTTGAGGCACACCTGACAACTCAAAACCCATTCCCAGTCAACATTTCCAAGTAGCTTCCATTACAAAATAAACTCAAAACAATACTACATTTGCAGTCTACATTTCCAACTAGCTTCATTACAAAATAAACTCAAAACAAGTAGCTTCCATTTCCAGTTTCTGTTGAGAACTTCATCTGCATTAAAAAAATTAAAAAAACACATTATATTAAAAAATGGCAATGTGTATTAACCATTACCTTCCACAAATCCATGCATTTGGTGCTCAAGAATCCAGACCAATTTTCGTTTAGCTGTAAATCACATGACAAATTAATATATAATCGTACTAAATGCAAAATTTATGTGTTATGAACTTTCATGCAAAAATATTAATTATACCTTGGCAAGTTGACTTTACAGCTAATTCTAATGCCCGAGTTCACCACATCTGCTACATATACGTTTCTTCCTTTCTTTCTTTTCTTGTGCTTGTTCTAAACCTGACTGGATTCTAGTTGCATTACGTGGACGACCTTTAGTCCTTGCAGCTCTATCAGGATCACGAACTGTAATCTGAGGAATGTGCTCAATTGTATGTGAGATGTGTGCAGAAATTTGAGGAGTATCCACCATTTGATCTTGATTTGAGGAATGTGCTCCAACATCTTCTTGCAGTGGTTCTATAAATTTTGTCAGCACATCATCTAGATTTTGCATCTTCTCTTCTGAAGCAAAGGCAAGCTCGAGCGCATTGTTGAATTTTGCTCTTAAAGCCCAAGTTTTCAATAAGTTAATCTTCTCTTCACAGCTTGTGATGTTTCTTCCATATATAATGTTGCCAACCCCAATGTTACGATGTCGAGCATGTATAGTCCAACGGTGTAGGATATAATGGTCAGGTAATGAATCCATTTGCCTAGCCATCATTTGCGATAACATATGTCTACATACAACACCATTAGTTTCAAACAAAGCACAAGTGCAACGGAACTGCATCTGACTAGATTGTTCATAAGTGACCACCTCCCATTTTCCTCTATCTGTAAACTTACAGACCTTGTATTCAACAATGTCCCCATCACTTTTCTGATTAGATTGTTCATAAGTGACCACCTCCCATTGTTCATAAGTGACCACCTCCCATTTCCTCTATTTTGTGACTAATTACTGTTCTGATATGATTTCCATCACTTTTTCACTTTCAATCAAATGAGTTTAACACTATGTTCAGTTTAAAAATATCTAGGATTCAATCTTGCCTACAGTCTTCTTCTCCCTTAAAAAAACAAACCCCAAAATATCAGCTGTGCAAGATTCTCAACAAGTATTCTCACTAACAGCTAAACATGCTCTGTCTGAAGATCATGCCAATCATTGGCTTAATAAAAAAAACTATGAAGTATACACAATTTTGTATTTAGCATGGTTCCCCCGCCATGAAATGCACCATCTTAAATATTTCAGCATCTCCCTTGAGAACACATATTTGGAGGAATTGTCAATAATTTTAATGATAATCCTCTCAGAACATGAGGCAATTCCTTCACCAGCAAGGGAAGCAAAAACTAAACATAAACTCAAAGGAGTGTTACTAAAACATGGACAGCTGAGTGTCCAGTGACTTAAGATGCCCCGCCAACGAGTCGGATTTGAATCCCCGCCCCCCCCCCCCCACACTCCATATGGGGAAACCGGAGGTGCACTGCCAGTTAAGTTTTGGTGCGATGTGGGGTCCTTTGCAAAAACCACCTTATAGACTATCTCCCCCCAAATTTCAAACCCATTGACTTCTCTCTCTTTCCAAATCTGTCTTCTCTCCCAAATCCCTATTCCACTCATGCCTCTACCAAAAATCGCCATCGGAGCAAACTTGACCTTCTCTCTCTTTCCCCCAAATCTGTCTTCTCTTCCCAAATCCCCAATTCCACTCATCTCTCCCACAAATCGTCATCGGAGCTCTCAAATCCTCCCCTGTCAAGAACACGTTCGAACTCATTACCTCTCAAAATAGCCAAAAAATTTCCGAATGTTTAGTAGCAGAAGAATAAACAAATCCCCGTCAGCCACCAGCGGGGACGACGCCTCTCTCTCTCTCTCGGTCAGCCGATCGGAACCGTCAGGCCCGCCGCGAGCTTCTCACGCAAGCCGTTCGTCAATGCTGATCATCATCTCTCTCGTCCTCTCTCTTCTCTCCATCTCTCTCTCTCTACTCTCTCTCCGTCAGCATCGAACCGT